TTAGCTTCAATATTTACTGATTTATCGAAGATTTTGTATTTCTCTAATTTACCGTTATATGGGATGTGGGCGTGGTTATCGTCCGATTTTAAAAATTTTAGGCGATTTTGTATGCTGTACGAAGGCCGACAACTGTGCCAAGTTTGGTAGAAATTGGTACAGCGGTTACCAAGATATACACATGTAACCATAAGTGGGCGTGGCTACGCCCATTTTCCAAAAATGTATAATATTATTATTTTTTGTCAAAAAATTATTGTAAATACCAATTTTGAGTGATTTATCTTCAGTAGTTACTAAAATATCGCAGTTTTCGTATTTCTGGAAATTACCGTTATATGGGAAGTGGGCGTGGTTACAGTCCGATTTCGCCCATTTTCAATAGCAACCTACCTTGGATTAAGGGAAACCTACATACCAAATTTCGTTGAGATATCTCAATTTTTGCTCGAGTTATCGTGTACACGGACAGACGGACAGACGGACAGACGGACAGACGGACAGACGGACAGACGGACAGACGGACGGACAGACAGACATGGCTTAATCGATTTCTTTTTTTATCCTGATCATTTATGTATACATTTGTCTATATCTATCTCGATTCGTTTTGGCTGTTACAAACAACCGTTATGTGAACAAAATTAATATACCCTTGTGCACAAGTGCGCTCGGGTATAAAAAAAAAAAATTAGTTAGTTACGGCTTTTTTGCATTTCTATACATATGAAGGTAACGATATGTATGTACATAGGTACTCGAATTGAATGTCGTTGACAAAAACTGGTTAATCAAAAATTTACTTCTTAGTTTAAGGGAAAGATTGGTCCTTTTTAAAAACTTAAATTTATCTCAAAACCTAGTCAATTTTATTTGTAAACAACCAAAATGATTTAGTTAATATTCAAAAAGTTAGAAAAAATTAAAATTAATTAAAATTGCATACCCATAAAATCACCATGTACATTAGAGTGGTCCAAAATAATAAAGTCGAAATTTTAATGCCGCCACCCCCTAGGATTGTTCTGAACCGAAAATAAATATACCCATATTTTTTCATTTTGAAATAAACCAAAATATTTAGGGAGTGCTCACAGCGCTCAAAGTTTTCCATGTATTTTATATGGGGAAAAAACAAATTTTCGTAAAAATGGTATACAACTCTTGAAAATCAATATTTTACAATCGTAAAACTGTGGTCCTCTTCAGGAGACTTCAAATATTAATATCCAGTTTTCTATTTAACCATTTTTTATGATTAAAGATTTTTTATTGGTCCCCCCATTGCATTTTCTAGGACCTATAAAATATAGTTACCATGAAAAAATTGTTTTTTTTTAATCCACATAGTTTTCTCTTTCATTTGGTATCCATATTGTTATAATACATTGCACTGAATTTTTTAAATAATTTTTGGAAGGATTGAGATTACAAGGTCCTTTAAATAAACTGACGCAAGAGAGAAAAACTACAAACGCAATTTAACTTTAGTTTCGCAAGTGTATTGATTGCTTCGTGCTTTTCAAAATTACTTTTTTAAAGCACAGCTTACTTACCTACATAATTCATATGTATAAAAGAGTTTTTCCTTAAAGCGTTCAATTTTGTGTGAAAATTTGAAGAAAATGAAGCTCCCTCAACTACTCGTAATAACAAATTTCCATCACTTTCAGTCTTTTTCTATGCCAAATTTCAATTGCAACTGTTCTGTTCTATCTAAGATAAATGGAGTTTTCGAAAGGCCAATCGATTCGATTTTCAATATTTGAAGTGGTTACGGCATTTACAGTAAAGGGCATTCATGAAACAAATTGGAAATGTACCAACTTACAACTGCTATGCAACAGCGCTGCAATTGAGTCCCACATTGACGTATATGTATGTATGTAACAAGTTAAGTACGTATGTATGAAAGCGAGTGCGAAAATCTCCCAATCCTCCCAATCCTCCCAATCATGTATGTATAGACATGTCTATGTATGTAAATATATATGTATGTATGTAGGAATATATAGCCCAGAGATTGAACCACCAATATCCGCCGCAAGTTCAATCACCGAAGTGCACTTGTTCGGTGATAGATAACCGGCCAGCTTGCGATAACAATTCCATTACCCCCGCTGGCTACTTGCTTATTGTTTCTGTTTGCAGTTTATTTCCTTATTTTTCCATTTCCCATTTGACCAATTGATGGAAATTTAACAAAGGAAAATCGAAAACGGTAAATGCATCAAATATGTATGCATATATGTATGTAGTTTGGTAACTTCATCATACATATGTATGCACATGAGTACTTATATGGAAATATGCGTATAATTAGCTATACCAAAGGGAAAATCTGATCTGCTATAGAGCGTTTTCCCTTTGTCACTTTTGTTTGAACTACTCTTTTAGTTTTTGGGCAATTTTTTTCCTTTGATTTTAGAATTTGTGGCTTTTGGAATGACAAGACAGTTAATGAAAAATTTTTGCATTACAGTTTTAATGGGATCTTGCTCAGTTCCTATGTAGAACTACGATTTTGCTGAACGATATTAAAAGCGATCTGTAAACTAAGTTTGGGATGCTCGTATATTTTTCATCTAAGTACCAGTACGTCGAGGGCTTATATTCAATATCCATTATTAGCAATTTTCACAGAAAGTACTTTCCGTTCTAAATAAGCACCGATCTGGGCATTAACTTTCATCACCGATATTAATTTTAACTTTGCAATTCAATAGTAAATTCTTCTTACAAGCGATAAGCAAGGGCAGCATTAACGTTATAGATGCCAATTAAGTTTTAGATGGATTTTTATATCAGAATGAATTTTTTTTTTTGAAAATTTGCAGAAATGTACATAAGTATTGGGTTTTAAATATAAGCCATGCCTAGTTTTGGAATTGACCTGCTCTAAATATGTTAAGCTCTGTTTAAACTGGAAGAAGTTTTCGAGGCCAAACCAAGTTTTCGACAGGGCAAATCTTTCTCGTCTGTCAACCTCTGCGACCACTCACTGGGAGCTCTTCTGGCCATGCTTCTGAAGCATTTGTACGTCCACGCCCTCTATATAAGGTAGGCTCTCACATTCGCTTGGTATTTTCGTATGCCGCCTAAATGTTGATTCAGATGCTGAGAGGTCTACTACTTATATAGTAAATCATTCAATATATGTGCTGTTCTATGTTTTCAGATATATCACGAAAAATGCGATTAAATTTGAGATTTTACCCAAGCCCTAAGAAAGAATCAGAATTACTAACCAGAGGCCTCCTAAATGAACAGATATTAACCTGAATAAATATCTGATTATTTTTGTCTTCTCATATGACACAGCAACGTGGAAGATGTCTGATGAAGATGAGGTGTATTCGAGGGCATTAGAGAGAACAAATCGATGAAAGGCCAAGCTCAGATGGATGCCTCTGCACTTGGTTGGTATAACTGCAATGAGGAATAGAAATGCCGCACCTCTTACCCAGCTGTCTAGCGGCACTCATTTAACTCTTGGAAAAATGCATATCGGAGATCAGAAATTTTCGATAAATCTCTGTGTGCCATAAAGTCAAGTGCATGAGAGAGACCCCATCTATTGCTATTAGCTCCCCTGTATCAATATAAGGCAAGTGATGGCTTCCTCCTCCCTCTTAGGTTTTCACAAGTATGAGTTCCTATCGGATCTAAAGTTAGATTTTTAAAATTCAAATTCAATGGCGCCTCCATATTGAATCTAACATTTATCACGGAAAAGTTAAAATCGAGCGTACTTGCATACATGGCGTATGAGCAACTTTGGCATCTCATCTGAGTAACTCATACGCCATGTGTATACCTTTGATTTTAACTTTTCTGTTATAAATGCTATATCGATATGATCCGTTATTTGGAATTTTGATCAAATATCGATCCGCCATTTTGAATTTCTAAATTCTGATTTCAGATTCGTAGTCAGCGATCTCAAGAACCCCGATTGCGAAGTTTTAAGCGAATCCAGTCGATTATAACTTTTTGGACGCCATATTGGGTCCACCATTTTGCATTTTTCCAACCAGACTCTAAATTCAAAATTAGCAACCATAAAAACCCACACACACACACTAAGTACATATGTACATACATAGATATTTTAATACTTATCCACGAGATTTCTGTTGATGAAAGTCCACCTGTTTTTAAATAAAATAATGCTTTGTAGAAGCTCCAATATTCGGAACGGGGGTCATTTTTTGTTCCAGGATAGGACGAATAAAAGAATCTTTACATATGCAACTATGTACCTAAATGTGCATGTAAATTTGTATATGCTTTTGATCATGTATGTAACTATTTATATACGAATATGTACATACATACACACACATTTACTTTGTATTAAAATTCGCTTCGTATTGTCTCCATCAAAGTGCACTTTCGAACTCTGCCTTTGCTTCCATTCTTAATTTGTTGCAATTTTAAACTTTATCGAATGGGAAATTGGCGGAGTGGGATTCTACTTTAACCTTCTGATTTCAACAATTTTAACTTTGACCACAGCTGCTGCTATGCCAACATATGTATGTACATTTGTATATCTGTGAATTTTTCTCCCCCCATGGATGTTTACTGAAAAA